TAAAATCATGTTGTAACAATGATTTTGATAAATACTGACCTGGAAGGGAATGTTAAAAAGACTCAGACTTGCAGTAGAATAAGATGTTTAAGTTATCTTCTGGGTCAGGAAGTGTAGTGGAAGGGCTTCACCTTATTACTTTCTTGCTTCTTTTCTAATAAACAGTGTTTTAGAAAAAAGCATTTGCAAAAATTGAAAAAGAACAGCTAAGGTTTGTTTTGATAACATAAAAAGCTAAACAGCAATTGTTAAATGAGTAACAATTACCTCAAACTCCAAGTCCATATAAGCTTTCTGTGCTATTAACTCTGACCTTTGCATGTAAAAACTGCTACAGGAAAATGCACTCAAAAATAGAGGATATAAAACAGTGGAAGGCACTTGCCTCACTTTATGCACTCAGGCCCAGACTTGCTGAAAACACTAACAGCCAATGGATAAGCCCTTGAAATCTCATTTTCTAGACAATATTTCAAACAGACCTCTATATCCTAATCACAAGGCTAAATAAATTCAAGGTTTTATTTATGTAGAAATGACCATGAGCAGACACACAATTAGTCACTGATTCATTTAAAGTCTTCATACTATTCAATATGTGACACAAGAGGTAAATTTTTCACCATGAGGACAGTCAAGCATTGGAAGAGTCTCCCAAGGGAAGTGGTAGATTCCCCAAGCTGGACAGTTTTAAGTCTCAGCTTGACAGGGTGCTGAGCCATCTCATATAAACTATAGCAGCACCTAGAAAGGTTGGACCAGATGATTCTAGAGGTCCCTTCCAGCCTGGCATTCTGTGATTCTAAAAATATGGGAAGAAACTGAGAAACTGTTGTGATTTAGATCAGCTGTGAAACCAGTTACACAATTACATACATATCTACATATACAGTTCCTGTATATTTTACAGAGAATTGCTTCATTGTTTTGTTGTTGTTTTTTTTTTTCTCTTTATTCATCATTCCCAACCTTGCTTTCTTACTTTTAGAAGAAGGAAATTTTGAGCATATTGGAAGAGCAAAGAGATGTTTTTTACCAAAACATGACTCAGCTTCAATTTACATGACCAAGGAAATATCAGTGTAAGAAAACCTGAGGTAATAATACTCCCCTTTCAGCATCACAATAAATGTCAGAGAATTTCAACTAAACATACAAGATGATGATTTTTTACACGTGAAATATCCATAGCCATCAAAATGGATACATGTGGTCAGATAGAAATATCAGCATCCATTTTGAGAGTGAAATTTCATTAACTAAGAAAAAGCTCCAACAATATATGGCCCTGATCTATAAAAGCCCAGGTTCTGCAAGGCCTGCTTTTGCCAGCTTTGTTCTTCTTCATTAGCATTTAGAAAGCAAGTATAGTTGAAGACAATATGGGAAACTCTGGCCACCTGTAGACAACAGTAGTTCTTCTGTTATATTCTGTAAGCACCAAAAATAGCCTTAGGCATTCTATACTTTACTCTAGAGATAATCTGAAACAAGTATCAGTGAATTACAGCTTTTCAGGTAATGCTGCACCCTGGAGATTGGAAAAAATGGAGTTAATGTATTTAATTTTCCCCAGCATGTGAAACATTCTGGATAGGACAACTTTGCTTAGAGAAAAAAAAAAAAAAGAGAGGGATTTTTAATTACCTTTAACAGAGACTTTTTCTTTATTGTCAAGAAACCTTTCATATGGTTTTTAAAAACTGGCAATGAAATTAGGTACATAATAATTTTATAATTTAGATGAATACTATGAACATTTTTATGCATGAAGATTGAACATCCTATTAAAGTGATGCCAAACTAAAATTCTTACCATCAGGATTCCAGCTGTCTACATTAGATTATTTAGAAAATAATTATTGCTGCAGTTTTTATACATGAATTCCATGTCCCAGTCTGAATTGTCCATGTTTTTTTTATTTGGGAAGATGAGAGAGGACTCTAACTATTAATAGAGCAGTCAGCTATGAAAAGCTGGAGAGGTGGAATCCTGACAATCAGAACTTCACTGGGGCTTACTTTCCAGAACAGCACTTAGTTGCTTATTTTTCATCCAATATAAATCTCATTAGGGCTAAAACAGGCCATTCAACATTTTCTGACTCTAAGAAAGAGCTGAAAAGTTAAATTGGAGAAGAGATTTTTAAAAATTGGCTTTTTCATGAAGCAATAATAATGTGACAACTGGTAAAACATCTGATGTACAGTGGTCATTATTAAAAAATTTGCAGTTGCCAACAAGTAACAAAATTTAGTTATCAGACATGTTACACTATCTTTTTACCTTTAAGACAGAAAGATGTAATAGCTACTCTGCAATGGTGTTTTGAGATGTGTTGGCAAACTTCTGATACTTGTGTGGCCATGACATAAGTATTTTTATTATATGTCTTTTACTAATTTGCATGCAATCAAGGACCCTGGGAGAAGAAAGATAACTTAAGAAAAAACATTCTCAGAGTGAATGAAAATGCTGAATGATCCCATCACAAACATGCCTTTCTTGTACAACTAAAATAAATTTCTAGCTGCTAACACAAAAAAGTGGCTGATAGCTATTTGCCCATCTTCAGTGTTGCAGTAAAATCTTTTAATCCCTTTAAAACTCATACCTGCTTTTCAAGTAACTGTCACACTCTGGTTCAAATACAGAGGAATGTCATCCTCTCTGAGTGAGAACAGTCAAAACTGATCCTCAAGATTACATGGTCTTTCTGTGTATGGGGTTTCCAGTACATTCACAAAACACACACTGGATATTTCTTATGTGAAATGTTTAGGTTGAGGATAATACAGAGTCTGGAATATATTCCAGGCAAGTGGTTCTTTTCTTTTAGCTTAAGTGTATGCATCACATAAACCAGCTCCATCCATTTATATTCATGCAAACGGATCAAATTTAAAACTGACAGAAAGGGCTGTTTTCAAAACACCATTTTTGTCACTATGCTAAGCAGCACTGATTTAAATTTCCCAACAGAAGCTTTAAAAAGGAATTTTAAAAATTCTAAGACTTAAGAGACTGAGGCCAGAATAGGCAATAAAATCAGAAGATTGTGATGGTGTTATTTTAGGATAATAATCTTATTTTAGAGATATGAAAATACTGAAACAATCATGCCAGCATAAGAAATAATTATACCATAATTCATAAGTGCATAATTTATCAAAATAATAGAGCAGTCATGGTTAGACGCAACCTAATATTCCTGTAAAAGATATAACTACATACTGTACAATTGTTCCTTTTTATAGTTATTTTTACATTTAGTCCTCATCCAAATTAAGCTGATATCTATGTATGAATGGTGTTACAAAATAAACACAACTCACAACAGGGCTTTATTACTGCTACTGCACCACCATGGCATGCAAGTAACTATGGAATCAACTATAAACAGTAAAATTTCATCATTTTCCTGAAATAAAAAGAACATGAAAAATACAGATATAGTAGTAAACATCAATTATCTTTGTATATCTTTCATATTTACCAAAAGTCTATCATTATATGAGGCATTTATACCTCTGTATCATTCTTCTGTACTAGTAGGGTGGCAAATTTGGAGTTGAGAGACTATACTGTCAACAAGCTCATACAAAACTACTGGTTCATATTATACTGCTGTCAACATGTAATGTGTAAATGAGAACAAGACACATCTGCTACTTACCCCTTAGCATTCTTACTCCTTTGTAAATTAATGAATTTTGAGTACATAAAAAGACTGAGGGCTATTAAAGCTGTTTGCTAGGTTGTCTGTTGTGGTGACCAAGCCCCCAAAAGACTAATGTCCTATAGAAAGGAAACTTCCATCTGTGAGTACTGATTGTGGGATGTTCCATAGTGGATGTCAAGTTTGAATACCACTGTTGGAAGTAACTTGGATTTCTGAACATTTATTTCGTTTTTGTTATGCAGGTTAACTCCTTTACCGGTGTGAAAGCATGAGATTAAATTCTGCAGCTAGGAGAACCAAAAAACCATCCATACTTTATTATAAAAACAAGGGTGAAAGGGCTGACTGGGATTCATTTCTTCAGTTTGGAGATCAGGACAATATATAGATGCTAGCAAATTTCAATACTGGAATGGGAGCAGGTAGAATAATAGCAAGGTAAACTCTCCTTAGATTTGCAATCTTGGAGACTCTCTCAGACAAAAAAAACCATCAAACTTGATTGAGAAGAAGCTTTTCCATGTTCAATTAATTTTGCTAATCAGTTACCTGGTATGGAGGACACCCATACACTCTTTCTAATATATATGATTCAGAATTCAGAATAGACTCTTAGGAACAAAACCATGAAAGCCCACTCATCACTGTGCTGCAGCCCAGATTATGATTCTGAGGTTTTTGCAAAGTAAAAAAAATAATTAAAAAAATGCTCAATTCAAGTTCTTATGGAATTATCTTTCAAATATGACATGTGGTATTCTTGGGTTATACCTATGCTGAATTCAAAAGCTGCCTACCTATTTTGGGCAAGGCTAAAAAGCACCTAAGTTCAAATGATACTCTTTATTTCCTGCTTGAAGGAAAGAAATATTAATGCTGATTACAAGGAAAGAACTATACAATTCTCATTGTTACATGAAGCTGTAAAAAAATGTCCTTTAGTTTCCTGGAATTTGCTTGGGTTTCAATTATACAATTTCCTTCTACATTATAAAACAATATACAGTTTCCCCTAGTTCTCTTCAAGGATTTTCCCTGCTCTGATATGTTCAGGATCAAGAATACTAGGTATTTTATTCCACATTTTGTTGATATCAGGATCCAATCTTTTTATCAAAGCTCATCAAACATACTCGTAGCTACCATAAGTTTGTTCTGCTTTGGGGTATAGTAGGCTGGGTGACTGTAACAGAGCGCAGTACCTCAAATGTGCATTCATAGATTTGCCTCCATAAAAACTGAGGCTGTAGTATAGCTTTCAATGGAAGCCATTTAAAAAGAGAACATTACAGAATATACAATTATTGTTTTCAAATCTCAGACACAAGTTCCTTGACGTGTTGAAAGATGATGTTTTCGATTTCTGACTCCTGAACTCTTATCTTTACAGTCCGCAGGCTTCTGTTGTGAAATGTCTATCAGTGCACTTGCAATTGCAAGACCTGTAAGATAAACAAAGGAAAAAGATAATTTAATGCCCAGTTTTCCTCAGAAGAGTTCCACAGAAGTGTGATGGTTCCTTTCATGCCAAGTTTTTCTGCTTTCCCCAGAAGTGATCAGTTTTATTTCTGAGTTTGATAACATATTCTCGCTTCCTAAAATGCTACCTAGTAACAGTGAAGAAACAGAGGAAGCAAAAAAGTGCAGTTAAAACACTAGACTGGAAATCAGGATAACTGAGCTCCATTTAATTCTCTTATTGATTTGCTATGTGATCTTAGCATCACCTCTCTTTATTACCCTTTTCTTGGTTATCTGGACCAGCAGCTCTCTGACATGGATTTTCATTTACTATGTTTGTGCATTGATGAAAAAAATCAAATCAGAAAATAAAAGAGAAATGGAGACCACTGTGAAGAAATAATTGTACTCTTGAATATTTTCCTTTGTAATATACATGCCTCCCTTATTTGGCAATATTCAGAAAATTATGATTTACCATGAACAAAAAGATATGAAAGTATCTTTTCAGGATGCATGGATTTGTGAACAGACATTGAACTGTGATGGTGTTGGCATGAATAAATTCTAAATGTTGACAACTCACAAAAACTGTTCTTTTTCATATTGTTAAAGTTGTTGATACCTCATGACCTGTTACAATCTTAACAGGGTATTACAGAGGGCACAGATAAGCATGCTTAGAAAATTAGTAGTTTATAAGAATTTACTCTTCCACTTGCTTGTTATTACATACTTACTAGAAATTACTGGCTTCTGCTGAAGTGCTGTCATTGACAACACAATACATGGCAGTTCTGAATTTTTAAATTCACACAGGGGATATTGCAATGAAATGGATTAGGAGGATTCACATCATTCATATGTTCTACTGCACCATGGCTGCTATAAAACCATGAAACTTAATCTGCAAAAGCATATCTATATGTACCCGTAATGTAGGTAAAGATGGTGCTGGCTCCCCGTCCATCTCAATCTCTAACCAGTACCACTCCACAAGGAAACCTTTGGAAATACTTTTCACCATGTTTAACAGGCAGTCTCTATTTTTATCTCAGGCCAATACCAAACTCAGTTTATCTATTACAGAATCCAATTTTGCAATATTTTTTTCCTGCATTCCCACATTACAACACCTATCTACTAAGAAACTGCAAAAAATATTTTTCACTTGCAAGTTTTTCTACAGGCTTCCTCCTTCGTATATGATATCCTGTCAGATTTTGTTCAGGCTTCCAGTATCCAGAAAAGAACCAATGCTATTGCACACTGTAACACTACTTTTCTTACTTCACAAAAATGTTGCAAAAATTAATTAATGTGCATTCAGCTTTTTGAAATGCAGGGCACTATACTGCAAAAAGCTAAGTACAATTATCATTTCAGAATAGGTAAGAGCCAAGATTAATTAAGTTGTTTTCCTCACAAATACATACATTTCCTGGCATGAGCTGGTGATGCCTTAAATTGGACTTTGATAGATTAAATTTTTGAAATCTTTGAGGCACCTTTAAAGTATCATCAGTATCTGATACTAGCAAATTCAGGGATAAAACCTAAATAACATTTGGATGGTTGTTTACATGTGATCCTGTCTTTAACAGTAAGGCTTCTGGAGTTTGCTAAATGGTATGAATGCACTTAGGAAAACAGATTTTCCATTTTCATGAGATATTTTAAAATAGACTTGGATGTATGATGCTAACCTCACTTTACATAACAATTAACAAAAAGGAAGAACTATTTCCTTCAATTCTAGTGCTGCATACTGGGATATACTGGCATGTAGTTAGAGTTCCATTAAAATCAGGTCACTACAGAAGATCATTTTTCAAAATGTCACACGAATCATCTGATGAAATTCCTTTATTATGTTCTCTACGCCCAGCCTAGTTCCTTGTTATCAATGCAATACAATTAACTGGGGGAACAATTCATTATTTCAGACTGGCAGTCTAAAGGAATTTCATTTACCAAGTCAAGCTGATGCACAGACACTGTGAGCAAGCAAAATTTACATCAAAATACAACAGAAGTTTTGATAAAAATGCTGTGACTTAAATATTCATTAAAAGAGAAAACAACCCACAAAATATTCCGTTCATCTTACAAGTTTTGTGTATAAAAAAACCCAAATGGAATACATTTACAGTCATTAAAGTTGGAACTGTAAATGGTATAGTGCTCTACATCTGTTACCTCAGTTCATAAGTTATTTCATTTATCCATCTTTCCTGAATGCTGCCATTTAAATATCCTACCTACCTTCCAAACTGGCATTTTCCAAACCAGTACATGGCCTCTGGTTGCTTCTGACTCTTGAAGAAGGTGGCAGAAGGAAACAGTGGAATCAGTAAGCATTCCACATGGAGAATCAATGGGTCACCCCTAATAGTCTCATTTCTGGCAGGACTGGACCTAATTTTAACTTTAGTTTGTTTTTCTACTAAATGTTATAGAAATAACCTGACCTAGTTATATGCAGCTAAAACAACCTCTAGCTTCTTTTAAGGATATATATGGAAAGATCATTAAGAAGTGAGCCCAGTCAAATACGTAAGTGGAAAGTATATTTTTGTAAGAGATAATTGCATCCACAATGAGAAAAACACCAGCAATACAAACTTAGTTATCTTTAGCAGAACTATTGTCTTTCCTAATGGAAGTTAAATGGTAATAGTTTATCCTCAGAAAGTAAGTGTCTAATCATAAAATTACTGGTGTGTGAATTTTTGTGGATTTTTTTTTTTGATGTTGGTTTTTTTTACAATTATGCAAAACAATTAATAAGTACAGGAATAAAGTACAGCACAGCAAATGAGATTGTCAGGAAACGTACATTCCCGATTTATACACAAACAGTGCTTTAATTCTGCATCCGAACAAAAGCATCTGAAATAGTCATTCATTTTGAGATGCACTCCTCCCAGTCTCTGTAAAAACAGGCAGTACTATATATTTTAATTTTCCAGCAAAACAGCTTCATTAGGCGTGAAAGGTTAATTGCAGGTTTAAGTGCAGTTCAGGGAACAGTGCATGGGTCTGTAGTGAGTAGCACAGGCTGCTACGGGAAGGCTGAGTGCTATAAACTGTTTGCCCTGCTGAAATGTTTTACTACCTCATTTACTAACTGTCTTCTTTTACTGCTTGTATTTGTAGTTCTTCTAAACCTTTAATAGCTACAGTTTTATTTCACTGTAATCAGATTTAAATGGAAATACCCATGCTGGGATGTTTAAACATTTTTCCTCTCATTGTATACAGCTACATTTGAACTGAGGTAAGGCTACACTATCTCTCCAAATAGGAAAAAAACACCTTACATTGAAAAAAGTTAGTCTTACATGTGCATATTTAAAACCTTTTTTCTTCTATTGTTCATTTTAATGAGAAATGCATTGAGCTCTTACTATCCCCTCTGTTAAAAGTAAGGGAACAATGAATGACCTCAGATTCCTGGCTAGGCAGGTAACTGGAAAAGTTTTGGTTTTTTTACAATTTAAATATGTGTTATTCAGAGAGAACATTTGGATAGATGTCTTCATTTGATTAATTTCTACACAGTTCCATTGTTACACAGAATCAGAACATTCAGAAAGCTGAAGAGAATAAAATAACTACAATTCAAGTAGATCACTTAGGTTTATATGACATTTTAACCAAAATTATAGTAATTGCTTAAGGTGACCTTAAGGAATGAAAATAAAATGACAGCTGCTACACACAGAGAGACTGAAACAGAAAAGTCTGGATAAGCACTATACTATTAAAGTCATAGCTTTGCCCTTCAGCAGCCTTCGTGTTACTTCCATTTGTTGATTTTTTACAGACGTGTCCCTGTACTTCCTCATCCAACAGTGGAGAGTCCTTTTTATCATAAAGCATCTGTTATTTGAAGTCTTTCCACCGTAGAAGATGCAATGCCCAGCAATATTTGTGCAAATGGATCTAAGGAGGTTGAAGACATTCTGAGGAAGTGATGAGAATTACAGACCCTAGTGCCTCATGAAGATGACCATGGCATGCAGAGAAACCGGTGAAGACAGTTCCATGCTCATCAATAAAGCTACCAGTTATTATGTAGGGAATTTTGATGAGTTCCATTATTATCTTATTATTTCTTATTATTTCAAGAACTATTTTTAAATACACAATGTATATTATGTGCATAAAAATTACACTGATATACAAAACCACCTTGTTAATACTGCAGTTTTGTATTACCTGTTTCTTAATTTGATGAAGCAGATCACATTCACCATAACCTTGATGGATGCATACCAGAAATGCAAACATTTATTCTTCACAGGAAATATAGATGTTAGCTAAAGTGTCTGTAATAGCAGAAGAATATAACTTTCAAGAAGGTTGTTACTAGACAAGTGTTTCTGTGTACTCACTGAAGAAATTCTCTCACTTTCTATGAGACATTGTGCTAGGAATGATCTCATTTAGTTTAGCTGTTTGGCAAAATCTTCAAGGTTGTCTGGTTTTTGCTACACTTTTCCTGTTTTCTCAATACAATTTTCTCTGAGTGGACTAACTCATTAATTTTCATGACTGAAAAGGTGAGAATGCTGTTTGTGCAACATACTCCCGTGCTACAGATCCCAGTCATGTCAGGAGATATCCATCCAAAAGACACACAAAATGGAACCAGAACAAAATTTGTGATTCAAAAGCATGATCCTCAAATCCTTCTCATAACCACGTACAAACCTGATGCTCAAGTGCCTGCTTTCCAGAAGAAAAAATAACAGTCATCTGAAGTTCAAGATTATCCATGGCCAGAGGAACCATGTATCTCACAACAGAGCTAAGTTCATTTCAAAGTCAGAAAATAGCCAAATCCTTCATGTGAGGGCCCTGATCTGGCAGGTGTGTCTAGACAATATCCAGACATCATGGACTTAGTCACAGAGAAAAACAATCATAAGCAACTGCCAAGAAGAGTAAGTATCTTCATAACCTGTCATATTGA